CTCTTTCCCCACATAAATACATGTATATCACAGTATCCTAACGGTGCATATCTATCATGAGATTGATTTAATCAAATAATATACAATAATTTTAGTGTATATACTATGTGTTTGTGTGTGGTTATCATTTTTAGTGATCATATGTTCAGTAAATGTGTAATAAAAATAACATTTTTTAAAAAAACATTTACTGTATAGATATATACATATATATGATTTTATTTAATTATTGGGTACACATAAATACGCACATATATTAATTGTTAGCTTTTTAAAATATATATATAATTTGTTAGCACTTAATTGCTAGCAAATCGATGAACTAATTTAATAATAATAATATGATTTTATTATTATTATATAACTAACTAACTAACAGTCACCCCATCGTGTAATGGCAAATAAATAAACACTTATATACTATATATATATATATATATATATATATATATATACTGTATAATTAAGTTTTTTAAACAAAACAAAAAAATTAAGACAACATTAATATAGTATTGACAATATTATTATTTGAAATTAAATTGATATTAAATGTGTCTAATTTTTAAATTAGTTGAACACAATTAGTTTATGTCAATAATAATGATAATATACACTACTATTTATATATAATATAATATATATTAGTGTTTAATATAATATATATATACCGTGTATACAGTATATGCCGTTACTTTTACTATTGTATTATACAATAAACACTTGATTCACGTTTTTATTAAGTTATATTATACGGTATAATCTTATATTATATAAATATATATATATAACAAAAAACAAACAAATAAGATTAGTAACTGATTTTATCCAAAAAAAATAAATAAATAATAATAAATAAAATGTTTCAATTCATTCATACAATTGGTAAATAAATTTATACAATTATTTAACGACAGATAAATTGATTGATTGATTGATTGATCGATAGATTGATAAATAAATAAATAACTTAAGAGAGAGAGAGAGAGAGAGAGAGAGAGAGAGAGAGAGAGAGAGAGAGAGAGAGAGAGGTTAGAAAATTAGCATTAATAACCATACTATCTAAAAAAAATAAATATAATAATTTATTAATAATATATTAATATTAGTATTTATATTACTTATAAAATGCTATTTAATAAATAAATATATTTTAAATTTTAAAAAAATTAGCTAGATCAAAAAACAAGTAATATAAATCAGATATGTTATACAGTACTTAAATGTTTTTTATTAAAATTTATTTAATATATATATATATTTGATATTTAAATATATATATATATTGTTAACTGTATTAATATTAATAGTCAAACATTTAAAAAAATATATCTATAGATACTGTTAAGTGTTATGTTTTTGAATAGTATTAAACTAATCATTAAAACTATATAATGTTTTAAAAAAAAATTAAATCATATTTAGACATATTATCATTAATTTTTATAATTTATTTAAAAAAAATAATATTCATGTATTTATATATAAATTTAACAAACATTATTGTCGGCTAGTTTTTTGAATTAATATTAAACTTGGTGATAATTTTTTTTAGTAAAAAAATAATCAATTTGTAAAAAATTAATTAATATATCAAGTTTATTAGCAAATATTTTTTAAAAAAATTAGATTATTTTGTAAAATAAAATATTAGATAATTAAAAATAGATAAATAATTTCAATTAAATAATTAATTAATAATATTCTCGATGTTTGCACACAAAAAAAAACAAAAATATGATAAAAACAAAACTAAAAAAAAATATATTGAATATATAATATTGAAAATAAAAAACCATATGATTCAGAAATTTATAGCTATATTACTAAACAATACCAAATGGTTTTATTATTATTATTGAAAAAAATGGGATTAAAATTATAGTACACCCGACACACATACACACAAATAAAACCCATAGTATATTATACAGTTAATAATCCTAATACATATGTGTGACATAAAAAATATTATATTATTTTCATATATATATTGTTTGCTGTCTATTATTTTTTCCAGTACAGTACTATATATATATTGTATTATACACAGTATATACTGTATATATATATATAACCGGATAAATAATAGATTTATAGGTCGGGTAGGAAAAGTGGAAAACTTTATATATATATATAATTCATTCATTAAGGAGAAAAGGCATATGAATTTAGGGGACACACACACACACACCCGCTCTTTCATTGGAAAGTGTAGACAAAATTTTTGTTATATATATATATATATATATATATATAAATTTGTCGGGTATTTAATGTTTCACTAGCTTTTATACCAATGAATATACTGTTATATACTTTATATACACACAAATATATATATACGAAAAACATTGTATACAATAATCATTGAAAGTGCTGGTAGTAGTAGTAGTAGTAGTGAACACCACTTATAACAATACAAAAATTTTTCTCTGAACATAAAACTATAGTTAGACAGAAAGAGAGAGAGAGAGAGAGAGAGAGAGAGAGAGAGAGAGAGAGAAAGTAAAAGTTTTGAGTTGAAATAATAGTGGCACTGGTATGGCATGAAAACTACTGGCGTTTTCGTAATGCCATACATAGTATTTTGATATATTCGGGCAAAATAGAGAGCAAAGAGAGAGAGAGAGAGAGAGAGAGAGAGAGAGAGAGAGAGAGAGAGAGATGGAGAAGCGGTTGTAATTAAATTAGTGTTTCGCTCGTCTCCTCTGCCAAAGGGGGCAAACAGTTAGCTGAACAACATTGAGAAGAGAGAGAGAGAGAGAGAGAGAGAGAGAGAGAGAGAGAGAGAGAGAGAGAGAGCGAAAAGAGACATCACTTTTATTGATTGAAATCCCTTTACTAAACGCCACCAAAACATACACACATATATAGACACACACACACACCAAACATTTTACTACAAAATACACACTACTACTACTACTACAGTACAAGTCAGTCAAATATATATATATATATATAAATTTATATATAAGTCATACATACATACATACAAACTATACATCCATCCATCCATCCATACGTACTGTACTGTACAGTATGAATGCCTTTATCCAACAGCACTTTTATCGTTGACTTTCTCTATATCTCTATTAATCTCTCTCTCTCTCTCTCTCTCTCTCTCTCTTGGTTTGTTGTGAACATTACTGTTGACTGAGCGTTCAAAAACATCTAATGTTTAAACATTTTATACCATACCGTATATAAATATATATATATATATATATACGGTATAGCCTTAAAACCTACCAGTGTCTGTGTGTATGTGTTTGTATGCTTGTCTCTCATGAGTGCCGTATGAATACAATATATATATACGGTATATACTGTATATTGAAAGTAAGAGAAAAGTCAACTTATAATATCTCTCTCTCTCTTTCTCTCTCTCTCTCTCTCTCTCTCTCTCTCTCTCTCTCTCTTCCTATAATATCTTAAAACAATTGAATTGAAAATATTTGACAATTTATATCTATATATATATATTATACTGAATGTATTGCATATATTTTTCTATTATTTTATTTTATTTTTTTTTGTTTTGTTTTTACTAATAGTCTATCCTAGCTGTCGACACACACACACACACACACACACACACACACATACTGTACACTATCAACTACACAATCTATAGAAAGTGGACTGGTAGTTTTTATAATGTATAAGCATTTAAGAAAATTATTTTATACATTATAAGTATTATAAGTTTATATCATTATGATATAGTACAGGTATATACATATATATATATATAAAAAACAAAAGTGGTGATCAGTAATTAACACAATTTGTAGTAATTAATTAAATTAAAACAATTTTTTAATATAATAATTATATGTATTCAATTTGTATGTAATTTTTCTAATACAACAAAATAATAATAACTTTTATGTATCCTTTTTTTGGTCACTATAATTAACACTTATTATAATATATGGCTAAGTGTTATATACTGTAATATACTGTATATATAACTTTTATAACATTAATATATATTTCACTATTATTTTTTAAAAATTATCTCTTATAAATATATTTAATAATAATAATAATATTCATGTATTATTATTATTATTATTATTATACACACTGATGATACTGTACTGTATTGTCGGTTTGATTTGAGTGCTCACACAATAGGCTATTATATTATATTTTTGCCCGACTTTTCAAATAATTCAAAAAAAATTTTTTTTTTTTAAAGTAGTGAAAAACATTWTATATATATATATAGTATTTTTTTCATAACCATTATGGTGTCGACGACGACAATAATATATTGTATTGTATTGTATTCAATATTAAACATATATATATATATATAATACACAATAGAGGAGACAATTTAATATCACTTTTCAAACAGTTTTTCAATTATACTAAAATGCACATATATTTTATATATATATGATATATACAGTATTATTATATAATATATATATTAATTTATGTTTTAGTACTCTCTCTCTCTCTCTCTCTCTCTCCGATATAATTAAACATTATATTAGTTGAATTACAAAATTTTTTTTATTTATTATGTGTTAAATATAAATACTTTACATCTATTGTATTACATATATATATATAAAAAATAATATTTCTATTGTTATTGTTAAGTGGATTTAATTTATTAAATATATATATATAATCAAATATTTTATTTTTATCAGTGATAAATTATCAACAACAAAAATTATTACTATATATTTTAAACTAATATAAATAATATTTTAATTATATTGTATTAAAATTAATATTTAGGTTATACAATATAATAAACATTTATTTAAAAATTTTGTGTTTTATTTAATAGTATATACAATACTACTGTATTTAGTTAATGATTTATTAATATGAAAATTACATTATTGTATAATATTTAATTGCCATTTCTAAAATAGCAATTAATTACATTTACACTAAACACATAAAAGTGTTTATATATAAACTATATAATAGTATATATATATATACACACATTTACAGTATATTACTAT